AATTGAATTACATTAAATTGCAAACTATGAACTATTAAATGAGAGAGAGCCTCTACAATGAGAGCGTCCAACTTCGCGAATAGGTTAACGACTTGTTTGGTGCAGTTTGTGAGAAGGATTTCTTGACTTCAAAAGCACAAATGGCACCGAATATAACAACTAGTGAAAAATGTTACAATTTCTCATAAGTAAGCCTTTTCTTTATTTCATTGCAGACCTCAAAAGTATTGAATTTGTGTTTTTTCAGGAATTTTTCACTTAGGTTTTAATGAAATTAATACATTATTTCTATTTTATCTTTTTTTTTATTTACAAAAACAACACTTCTACAACAATTTTTTTCCAATAGAACTTTTATTAAAAACTCCAGCTACATCAAATGGATACTAAATTGTACAATTTGAATTATTTTAAACTACACAACAATTTTTACATAGAAGATATAGTTGTTTCCTTCCCAAAATAAACAAACAAACAAGCTAGTCTCAATGTCTGCATTAAGATACATATCCAGGCGCGAGAGGTAAAAAATCGAAAATACAAAACTCAACAGAGGGCAGAGATCGATACTGGCCCTTATTATCAGCAAGGAGATCACACAAATATAAATTTTTGTTTTTTGGTGCAAAAAAGCTTGAAACTTGACATAGGCAAAGGTTTTTTATGCACAATGCCGGCCTATCTAGGGCTATAAGTGCGGATCAACACAAATATTAGCTTTCCTAAACACATCTTGAATCCGTTCTTCAGGGATCAAAGCAAGAACCGCCCTCCAATCCATCCTCCTTTTTCTTTTTTCACAAACGTTTATCCAAGCAGTCCATATATGTCATCTTTCTTGTAATCTTTGTTTGGATCTTTTTTGTAGTTCTTGGAATCTTTTTTGTCCCCCTTTTTCTTTTTTCATATTTTAAAATTTCTTCCTTTTAACTCTTATTCTTTAACTTTAATTATGCACTTCATTATTAATGATGAAAATGTTATAGTTATAATACCACATATTATTATAAACTTATGATGTGATATATCATTATATAATTTATTTTTTTATTAAGGGATTTACTCATAATAGTATATATATCTACTTATTTAGTATCATATTATATTCATTTAATATTATGTTACGATTCTAAGTTTAAAATTTTATATGGTCTTGTAATTATAACATTGTTATATTAACAAATAACAATATGTTTGGTTTGAGGTAGAAGGGGGATGGGTGTGGAGAGGTGAGATTTTTAACCAATAAAATTATAATATTTTTAAATATTACAATTTGATAAGTTTAAAAACTTATCTCTCCCTTACCCTATCCTCAAGCTAAACCTATCAAAAAACTTTTCTTATATATATTATTGAATATTAAAAACTATAATTACAATGTTATGTAATATTATAAATTTATAATATAATACATTTTTATATATTAATTCTTTTTATTCAAAATTCATTAATAATATTATATATATCTATTTATTTAATATCATATTAAATTTATTTAATGTTATCTCATAAATTATAATCTTATAATATTATATAATACTATTAATACTATAATTTAAGTTAAAAATAAAATATTTTAAATTCAACTCATATGCTATGTATGCCAGTGAGTGCGTGAGAGAAGAGAAAAGAATATATCATGTGTAATTGCAAGCTTGCAAGGATAGGATCGTGGCATTGAATATGGAATATACTTACATTCTCAATAATTAAAATAAAAAAGCCGAAAATAAAGGTAAAATATCTTCGGTCAACCGTAGCTATCTGTTATCTTCCATATCCAATAGCCGCCCAGAAAGAAATACATTTCTAAACCTGTATTCAGAGAAGACCCGCAATCCAATCCCAGAATTCTCTCAACGCAAACCATGGGGATTGCAACTATAACTGTCTCCGCCTCAAGACCGCCGCCGTCGGTCCTATTCTCATCCTGTCACTCCAGTTTCTTCACTAACACAACTAGCGTTTCTCTCTTGAACAGAACCAAACCCCAAACCCTATCTCTTTTTGTGGGTCGACCCGGAAGGAGAAATGGAGCTGCCACAGTCAGAAAGGGTCTTACTTGCAATTCTCTTTTCGGTCTTGGTGTGCCTGAGCTGGTTGTTATTGCTGGAGTGGCTGCTCTGGTTTTTGGACCCAAGAAGTTGCCTGAAGTTGGGAAGAGTATTGGCAAGACAGTCAAGAGCTTTCAGCAGGTATTAGTTTCATTATTCATTTATTTATTTGGGTGTTTTTTGGCTTGCGAGAAAGTGAAGGAAAATAAGGGAAAGTTTGAGTCTTTTTTTCTTGATGTCTCTTGTGCTATTTTGATTTCTGGGATAGGAAAAGTATTTACGGTTTCAATTTTGCTGCCGTGAAAAATGAAGTGAAAAATTAGTGGGAAAGAAGTTGAGAATTTAAATTTTGTTTGTTTTATAGAATTACAAATTCCTGAAATATAAACAGCTAATTTGTTATGTGGGATTCAGTTGAATGGAGAAAAGAAAATTGAGTTAATAGAAAGAATTCATATATTGATTTTCAAAATAGGATTTCTTCATTTTATTGGATCAGTACAAATACTTCATTGATGATTTTATTTTATGTTGTTTTTCCTGACTTGTTGAATTCTTTGCTAGAGTGCTTGATCATTCATGTTGCCAATATAGGGTTGGTTTGAGATGAATGCCTTACCTTCAATTACTACGTAACTAGAAGCCCATGATGGTGATTAAGATTGCATTGCATTTGTTATGAGAGAATGTTTTCATCTTGCTGATGTTGGTTTTCCTTTGTTCCTCCTTGATGATGGTACAAGTTGTTTCTTTCTAGTTATGGCTTGAATAATTGACTGACTACTTCATTTTTGTTTTTTGGCTTCCTTCTCTCAAAGCAACAATCTTATATTCATAGAGAATGATATTAATCAAGAGTATTTAGTTTTTCCCATACACTCACAAGAGCTATTCTCCATTTTTTCGGGAGTTCTTTCACCTCTTTAGCTTTGTATTATATGCATTAGTAGCATAAGTTAGAATATTTAGAGCTTGAATGGTTAGTCCAATGTATAAGTCTATAGCACTCTCGAATTATATGTTGAGTCCATTTTGCCGTTGGATGGTGGGTAAGAGGAAAGTGTATACATGGTATTAGTTCTGAACCAGTTGGAATAATGTGTTATTTTTAATAAATCAAAGGTACGTTCATGACCTGATCTTGAGTTTAATAGCATACCACTTCCACTCCATGAAGGTAAATAATATCTGGATTCAAATCAATAAGTGAATATCTAAAATGTTGACATAAGCTTAACAGGAGGGCTTAATACAACTTAGTCATGGCCTAAGCCAACCTACGTCTTTAACTTAAGGTGCTGAATTCAAGTTCAAACCAAGATCAACTAAGGTTACCTGGATTAGCTTTTGCATCATTTTTGGTTAAGTTCATTACACTGGTTTTTCTATATTTACTGGGGAAATGTGAATCGGATCCAAGAATAGTACTGGAACTCCACTTAAAAGAACACGGAGTTCATCTTTCTTTGTAAGCTATCAATTACATCCCATTAAAGTTCTGGTTTCTGGCTCAGTGGCTTGTGCTTTTTACTCTGTTTCATACTTTTTCTAGGTTCAATTTCTTGTTTACATGGTGAGTTAGTTTTTGTTCTCTAATAAGGACTTTTAGTTAGAAATTACACATTCTGTGGGACAGTGTTCAATGTTGTGTGGCTCAACAAAAGGATGGTAGCCTGAGGTGAACATTTTGGTCTTCATGCTGAGCATCATTGTGTTGGTCAAAAAAAAAAAAGGAAGCATCATTGTAGTTCTTAGTTAGCTTATTGATTTATGCTGAGGTCAGGATTAAACTATTCGTGCTGACCCAAAAATATCAGTCAACTATTCATCTGACTCTTTTTGATGCCTGTTTCATGCTGTTTGCTGTTGCATTCAAATTTGAGGACGGCTTTTTACGGCATATCCAGGCACTGTTAAAATTTCAAGCAATTGTTGCATTGTTTTCTTTCCCCTGCATCAATGTGACTTTATTATGAGCTATTTGCTTCTCATCTTTACACTTTTAACTTCTATCTAGCTGCATATTCATTGATTTTTAAAATTTCTGAACAATTCTTTTTAGATAGCCATACTGAACTCTCAGTAGGAGTAGAGTAAAACAATAGTTTTGGAATTTTGCAGGCTGCAAAGGAGTTCGAGTCTGAGCTTAAAAAGGAGCCTGATTCTATCGCAGAGCCACAAGGAGAGAAACAACCTCCAGCTATTAGCGAGGAGAAACAAGATGCAAATATTTCAAGCTCTAAGGATAGCGTATGAAACTCTGAAAATATCACCCTTGATGTTTATGTTTTCGAAAGTTCTCCATTGTATCAATGAGCTTAGAACAAACAAGTTAAACAAGTTAATTAACTCATGAAGGTAGGTTGGCTACATACATTAATTTTTTTTTCCGGCTACATACATGATTATTTGAGATGATTTAAGTCACCAAAAAAAGAAAAAAGAAAAAAAGAGAACATGATTTATTCTTTGATTTGATGACTGACTTATTTACTTGAAAATACTGCATATGGGGAAATTAGAATAATGAAAATTTTCACTTGAGATTAAAATACTATTCAAATGATTTTCATCGATTTCTAAGACATCATGATTATTTTATGATTGTGTCATTTTATAGTATGAACTGTCTTGAATTATAAAATAAGAATGATTTAAAAAAAAAAGGGTTTCAATGTTAGAGAACTCTTTCTTATCAAAGAGTCAATGTTTTTACGGTTTGGATAGTAAAATATTCTTTTATTTTTTTACATGAATTCTTGATTTAGACCTTTTACAGAAAATTCTTTTTAAAATTTCAAATAAAGCTTTTAGAAAAGAGAATAATGCATATCATCAACTCTTAAGTTTTATTCTATTTTTCATTAAACAATTGAATTTAGTATTTTATTTATATAGATTTACATGTCAATTTTAAGTTGATGCAACACATATAACTATTTGATTAGCAAACTTATATTTTTTAATATATATTTTAATGTTATTAAATTTTGTATAAAATTTAATAAATTAATTAGATATATTTAATCAATTTAAAAATTAATATGTGCAATTTATATGAATACAACGTTAAATTTAATTTTTACACTAAACTAAGCGTAACTCCTACCCCATAATCTACGTTAACACTGTTGTATTTGATAACACTGTGTTTTGTCAAATTTCACATATACGCCTTAAACGATGGCCCTCACCCATATTACCAAACCGTAAACGCTGTTACCCTTCAATCTTTATACCCTTAAATACGTATTTTTTGTTATTAATTAATTACAATACAACTTATTTGACACATCACAAATAACTTGACATATAAAATCCACATAACAAACCTTTGCCTTCAATTCAATATCTATTATTTAATATTTGTTTTTGTTTTTAATTATTTTCATTTTTTATACAAGAGTACCATTTTATTAACACCATAATGCTATGTTCAATAAATTTGACGCAAAAGATTTTGCTTTATAAGTAATACACTGTCAAATAATAATAGTATCAAATGGTTGGCTTGAATGTAATATTTTCGGCCAACCTTTTGCATCTGGTTCAACATTTAGGTTTGTTTGCTGAAAAACAACTTCCTTGACTCTCAGCAAGTAGATTAGACAGAACTTCAAGAAATTAATACACTTAAAAGGAAGCAAAAAAATAAAAGTAGCTTCACCAAACGTTCAAAATATATTCATTCACCATGATATCATGTCATTAACAAAGCTTAACAAGAAAATTAGGAACAAGAACAACACAACAGCTATCATACTTTGACCTAGAGGTAAGCTAAGTGCTCTGGAACTTGATTGCTTCTTTCCCCTTAAATCAGTAGGTTCCCAATCTGACTGAAAGAAAAACACTTGACTAGCGAACATCTGCTCCTCAAGCCTCACAACATCACAATGCCCATTCTTGAACTTGTAAAATATCACCTTGTAAAACCCTTTGATGAGTGCAACATCAGAATTGTAGAAAGCCTCAGCACAAGATTTTGACTCCTCTCTTTCCAAATATTCCATGTCCATCACATGCCTCTTTCTCCACTCTTTTTTGCTGTGCTCATCCATGATCCATATCTCCACACCATGCCCTTCTTTCATGAAGATTGACCCTAGCTTACCTTCATATTCCACAATCTCCACGTAGTTGCAATGTTCACTTTCACACAATGGATTTGGCAAAGGAAACAATTCCCATCTCTCTTTTTCCATATCAAAGGAAAACACATTCCTCTCACTTGTTAGCCAATGAAGTTGATTAGATACAGATATTGCAGGTTTCAAACCCAGCCGCTCATAGAATGGTAACTTTACTTTAACAGATTGCTTCCAACTCCAGTCTCTTGAATAAAAAATTTCGCATTGAAGAGTAGAAGGGTAGGCATCAAACATAAGATCATGCTCGGGCTCTGGCTTCGAAAATCGAACTATCTTGAATCTTAAAGGATTCAGTCGAAGCACGATCATAGCTATTCTCTCGGTGGAGCATTGAGGATTTGGATTTGGTAAAACTTGCCATTGTTTACTACTAGGCTTGCAGATGTAATATTGAGTTTCATGTGGGTATTGGCTACTACAGAGCATTATCCCCTGTTTTGAACAAGCTTCGATCTTAACAGGGTGGGGTAAGAAATCAAGGCTAATAAGCTTGGAGTCATGAGGATTTTCTATGGACACAAATGTCGAGTTGTACTTGTTCCTCCTCAAACTTTGTACAAAAAACCCAGATAGGGTTCTTGTTCTCGCAGAATGAAGTTGCATGAATCGTGATTCATATGTCAGGTTGTTGCATTCCTTAGATAGTAGCCTGCACTTCCCAAGAGTTTGGAGCGGCGTTCGCGACAAAATCTCGAAAAGCAAATCTGGAGTAATGTCATGAGACTCCATTGAAGGGGTGAAAGAAACAATGAATTGAGGAAGAGAGATGTGATTTTTAAAAACAACGGAGTAGGATGTGAATATGATGATAGAAATAATGAATTGAGATCGGAGATTTATATGGGTGGGTGGGATGTCCCAGTTTTTGTTGGAAAAGGAAGGATTCATAATTTCTCTTGGACTTCGGAATTACCGTAGTAATAGGCAAAGTTTGATTTTATACGGTATATGTGGATGAAAGGAGTTCTGAAACTTGGGACCAAAGGAAGGGAAATTCATTGATGGTAATCTTTTTTATTCTGCTTAGAACTTCGGGATGCTAAAAACTTTTTTTTTTTTTTTTTTTGATGGTAATCTTTTTTATTCTGCTTAGAACTTCGGGATGCTAAAAACTTTTTTTTTTTTTTTTTGAAAGGCAGTGCCAACTACTAATTATCAGCTGTGTATTTGACTATTTTAGACAAAAAAAGAAAAAAAAAAAAAAGAAAGAAAAAGGGTCAAGATTTTATATGCTAGAAAGCAAAATATTTCGCGGTTATTCTGGCAATAAGTTCCATCATCAATGGCCCCTAATAAGGTATTTGGTCTAGTGTGGCATGTGAGTTTCAGTTCATTTTATGCTTGACTAATACATTATGTAAATTAGATATAATTTGTAATGTTTACATGTATTTATATATATATATATATCTCTGATTATGAGTTATATAAGAAAAAATAATATTTCTTTATTCTCAAATCTCTTCTCATTTGATTTAAAGTTCGAACTTGAGATCCCAACTTAAAGTTTCAAGTTCTTAACCATTTAATCACTATATTTGGGTTATAATGTTTACGTGTATTTCATATGAAGAAATATCTTGTGGTTATATTTTTTTTAATTTTCATAGTTGCTATAAAAGCATCTAATCAAATAGAGTGTGACTTAATTGGTAAATGGTTTATTTAATATTTTATTGATCAATATTCAATTATACGACAAAGTCAATAAGTACAATTCATCATAAATCCCTTAGATTTAGTGTGAATGTTCTATTTTTTACAAGATTAGAAAATATTAGTGTTGAAGTACATGAAATTTGGTTTGAAACCTACTTTTGACCAGACCGAAGGATTAGTTTAAAGATGCATGTTAGTTAGTCTAGAGCACCTTGACCATTATAGAAAAAAAAAATGGTGTCTAAATTTAATTGTCTCTTTATCTATTTTCACAAAATTATTTTATAGTTTGAAATGTACCCAAAATACAAGAAAAATTCTTCAATGTAACTAAAACACCACGTCAACTATGGCTTCGTTTGACAACGTTATTTACTGTATTTTTTTTAAATTATGTGTTTGATAAATTAGCTCTTCTTACTTTTTCGGAAAGAAATACAAAAGTTATTTTATTCAAAATTAATAGAATTATCTTAAATAATTTAATAGAATTTCTAAATTTTTTCCATACATTATATATTAAATTATTAATTAATTTAATTTAATTTTAAATAATAATATATCTAATTGAATAATTTTACAATAAATAATGTTTTAAAAATATAATAATCAAATATTAAAATACTTTTCATAACATCATAATACAATAATTCTAACAGTTAACCAAACAATGTTGTCAAGAGAAAGGTCTTTAGGCCCACTGACCATTTATCTAATTGTAAAAAGCTTCCTTACCCGATAACAAAGTTTGAACTTGTGGTATCCTTCTCCCCATCCCTTTCTCTCAAGGTTGAACCACTTGCCCCTATTCTATTAAAAAAAAAAAGCACAGTGTTGTCAAACTTAGATTGTATCTCGATTCATTGAAATTTGGACAACTCAGAACAAATTTAATGGAAGA